ACAAAGCTCTTTGGGAATAATCAGTCACTTTTAAGAGAATGGAGGGATCCTGAGACAAAAGTACTTGTGAACTCTGGTCTAAGCAGATCAGGAGGGTGGAGCCGAGGAAGGAAGTGCAGCAAGTTTGGACACATTGGGGGGTAGGTTGGACCTTCCAGGTGCCAGCACCTCCCAGCAGGCATGGCATGTTGACAAGAAGCTGGTAAAGTGCAGCCCAAGAGCAGGAAGTCCCCTGGGAAAGAAAGATGGTGGGACTATACACTGTTTCCCACAACTGAGATCTTTCTTGCTTTACCCTTGCTTTCAGTGAACTATTTAATATGACGTTAGATCAGAAGATTCATGCCTTTCAAACAGTATTAAATGTGCTATCTGCTGGCTCAGATGAAAACAAATCAAATCCAGAGTGAATAAAACATGAAAATGCTAACTGCAAAAAACTTAGAAGAAAAATATTTTAAGAATATTAGAGACGACCTTTCTAATCAAACAGGAAGTGTAGAAGCCGTAGAGGAAAGAGAGACAGTAGTTGATGACATAAAAATTTATATTTCCTATAGAGAAACTCATAGAAAAATTTAAAGAAGTGAAGACTAGGAGAAAATATTAGCACTACATGTAACCAACAAAGATTTATAGCCATAATATGTAAAGACTGCTTACAAACAAATGAGATAACTATAAATAAGCTAATGTGATTATGAAAAATAAAAATATAAATTACCAATAACCATAGGGAAAGATCTAAAATTACCAGGAATTAGGGAAATACAAATAAAACAAGATATGTATTTTTGCCCATCAGAGTTGTACAAATGAAAAGGGTGAGTGTTCAATATTAATGAAGATGTGAGGAGCACCTCCTCTTGGCAAGGGCCTTTTTATAAAGCAGGGTCTCCGTAGCCATCAGCATTTAAAAGGAATATCCTTGATCCAGAAATTTCAATTTTAGGAATCTTTCCTATAGGGATACTTGCAAATGTGGGTCAACACACACATTGATACCCACACACACATGCATGTACACACAATCTTTGGGTCATAATAGAAAAAAGAAGAAGGAACTACCTAAACATCCATCAAGTGGAAAATGTAAGGTCTAGTATATTTGTATTCTGGAATAATGGCCTCCATAAAGACTGAGGTTGGTCTATATATATTCTTGTTTAAGATGTCTGTGATGTATTACATGAAAAAAACTAGAACAATGTTTGTACAATGATTCCATTCATTAATAAGAAGAAAGCCCTTATTCAATAGGCAAATGTACAAATACACACAATGGGTGAACTGTGCTCCCCACCCCCAGGACAGCACGGCCCATAAAGGGGAATTTTTACATTATACACTATTTCATTCTATATCGTTTAAATTTTAAAGGTCATTTTTATAATAAAAATCCTTTTCAAATGGAACGCAACAAATATGCCCAAATATGTCCATAGAATTATGAAAATATAATTGGATTACTCTGCTATGAATGGGTATCTGCATCGCTTTCCATATTCAGGAAAAGATGACCTAGGACAGTGGTCGGCAAACTCATTAGTCAACAGAGCCAAATATCAACAGTACAACGATTGAAATTTCTTTTGAGAGCAAATTTTTAAACTTAGACTATATAGGTAGGTACATTGTTATTAACTTAATTAGGGTACTCCTAAGCTGGCCTTTGCTAAAAACGTCCTCAATCTGATTGAGGTACGTTCGCTGAGGTTGACCCCTTCCAACTCTCCATCCACACTCGTCTTGTATACTTGTTTCATCTATCTCCTTTCGTTCATCCTCTCTATATGTCCAAACCATCTCAACATACCTTTCTCAATCCTCGACACTACATCTTCTTTCACTCTATAACGTTCCCTGTACGTGCGCGCCACCCAGCCAGGGCTACCTTGACCACCTTTGGCCTAAGCAGAATCAACTCCCGGCTTAGGTCAGTGACTGCTTACCACTGCGGTGATAGTCCCTGGGTTGGCAGCTCACCCCTCTGCACATATCCTCACAGCTCTGCTGAGTCGCACTCCTTGTGTACTCTGGCCCATGCAGGCTTCAGGCCTGTCAGCAGTAGCTGTCCTCGCAGGGAGCACACCTCCGCAGGTGGAGCCATGCGTCCCAGAAGCGAGGTCTTGGCCTCAACATGGGTGCTCCAGACTCATTCATTGATTCCCCACTTAGTGATGAAGTCACTTAACTACCTGACAGGCACCACCCCATGCCTGACACCAAAAATACAAGATAAATAGAAGTAGGTTTCTGATCATAGTTTCCTATGAGAGACAGACAGTCAACATCTTATAAGTGGCAAAGAAAGGGATCCAATCACATGGCCACACAGGCACCATGTGACATGGGCACCAAAAGACACGGGGTGTCCTGGACATGGAAATGTTATGTGCAAAGGCAGGGTCATGAAGGCAGTGTTTCTGGGTTAATAAGCATGCCACACATCCCACAGCCTGTGAGGATAAATGAGGTCACATTTATATCTGTACCTCAGATGTGAAGGTTCCTAGTCTATTCCCTCCGATTGAGAGAAATTTCAGTCTTTTCCAGGAGGCTCCTATCATGTTCTGATAGTCCCTGGGAGGGGATTGGGTGTACATAAATTCCCCACAGGAAGTAGATGCTGAAGCCCTCGGGGATGAACTTGGCACCCAGGGCCTCCGGAGGCCTTGCCAAATCAGCCATTAGACCTCAGGGGTGTCCAGAGAGGTGACACTAGGAAGGGGAGGTGGGGAGCTTGGGTCTTGCTGACTGCCAGCCTCTAGAGCAGTGGTTCTCAACCTTCCTATCGCCGCGACCCTTTAATACAGTTCCTCATGTTGTGACCCAACCATAAAATTATTTTCGTTGCTACTTCATAACTGTAATTTTGCTACTGTTATGAATCATAATGTAAATATCTGATATACAGGATGTATTTTCATTGTTACAAATTGAACATAACTAAAGCATAGTGATTAATCACAAAAACAATATGTAATTATATATGTGTTTTCCGATGGTCTTAGGCAACCCCTGTGAAAGGGTCGTTCGACCCCCAAAGGGGTCGCGACCCACAGGTTGAGAACCGCTGCTCTAGAGCCACTCAGGGCATTGCTGCCTGAACCTCCACAGTCAGCCATGCCCACTGGGATCTGCCCTTTTACTGCCAGCTAGGGGTGTACCCGGCAAACCTACCTGGCCTTAATTGCTCCCCACCTGGGGCTCAATAGTTCAGTTCCCTCACACTCAGCTCTCCATTCCCTAAGGCGCACCTCTGAACCAACGGCCCTACAGGCCCAGTGCCAAGTGCAGTCCAACCCAGTCCAGAGGGTGCGATGTAAATCTCCATTCCCTCCGGCATGTGGGGGCCAAGGACAGGAGTGGAGGACACTGCTACAGGGCAGGACATGGCGGAATTCAGGAAGATCCTCCATCTACCCCCATCCCGGCCCCTGCCCCTCTGTTCCCAGGGTGTGGATGGTGGAGGCACACAGCTGCAAATACTGGGGGGAAGGTGCTACCCAGTCCCCTTTTGCATCATCCCAAGTGTGAGCCTGTAATGCTTCCCGATTGGCCAGTGGCCTGAGTCCTGCTGCAGCAAAAGGGTGTGCATTGTGCGCATGCCTTGTATGCATGTGTACCGATACAGGTGTGTATTTGTATGCATGTGTGCATTGTACCCATGTGTGTATGTCCACACGTGCTTTTGTGTGCATGTGCATGTGTGCATGCATGCATGTGTATCTGTGTGCACATGTATATGTGTGTATGAGTGTGCATACTGTATGTGTTGCAAGTGTGACGCAGTAGCATAGTAGAGAGAGCTCTCCCCTCTTTCTCTTGCCCTTCATTATACCACTGTGCTCCTCGCCGTCCTCCTGAGCCTCTCACCCTTTAACATGATGCCGCTGTGCAGACAGTCACTTCCTTTTAGCGTGCGGAGACTCGGGAGAACAGGCAGCCAACACTCAGCAGAGCCATGAGCTGGAAGCCAGGAAGCAGAAAGTCTGGGTTCGCAGCTGCCTTTGAGCACTGAGCCTCTGCTCCTCCCTGCGAACTGAAGGGCTTGAACCACCTCCCTCTCTACTTGACAACTCACTGTGCTGTTCTTCCAGAAGTAGCTCCTTGGCGCTACACTTGTGTGTGAAGCATGTGTTAATGGCATTTAGACAATCTCTTTCATGGCAGTGTCAGAACCCATGGTGACCTGACTGCTCATAAAGTGTGGTCCCCGCGGAGTTAACACAGTGGAGATGTATTTTCTAAATTAACTGGTACTTCCAAAGGCAGCGGCTTTGAGGAAAGGAGGTTGGAGTACTTTATCAACATAGGTTTCCTCTTCAGTGTGTACCATGTGGGTCCTGTGTGGATGTGCTTTGGGAAACTCAACCATGAAGATGGGTTTAACTTTCTTAGAGAAATTACATACTGGGAGGAACAGCTTCAGTTTTGAGAGACTTTCTTAACTCCCCTAAGGGTGGGCGAGTCATCTCACAGGAACAGAGTTTAGGTAATGAAGACGCTGAGCTTTTCATACCCAAGAGATGGCCCTTAAGGGCTCACCTGCCCAGTAGGCAGGGGTAGCCTGTGTGTCCACCAGCCTATGGCGTACGCACTGGGCTGGTCTTTGCATTTCCCGTGTGAAATGGTGTCAGTTACAGCAGAGCACCTCCAGAGGTCTCGTAGGGCCAATGGAATACATTTTCCTCTGGTTCTTCTCATTATAAAATTGCAAAGACAGATTTGTCTGAGCACCAAGGTTAGGCTGAGACCTCAGGTCTGCCTGGGTCTCCTTTTATTTAAATGTTATTAGAATGTCAAAGTCTGGCAGTGGCCTTGGGCAGCAGGCCTGGGGAAAAATAGCTTCTCTCTCATGAGGTTCTCTTGAGGAGCAGATTCGTGCAAGAGGCCTTCGATGCCTGGTGGTTGTCATGGTCAGAGTGCCTTGAGGATGCGGGGTCTGGGGAGCTGAGTGGGGCACGTGGTTAACACGGTTTCCTCTTCCTTCGCAGCGGAGCTGGAGTTCGCCCAGATCATCATCATCATCGTGGTGGTGACGGTGATGGTCGTGGTCATCGTCTGCCTGCTGAATCACTACAAAGTGTCCACGCGGTCTTTCATCAACCGTCCGAGTCAGAGCAGGAGGCAAGAGGACCGGCTGCAGCAGGTAAGTGTGGGCCTGCGCCTCTTCGGTGCTGCCCAGGCCTCTAGCCCAGGCTCCAAGAGTGCGGCCGGGTGCCCATGAGGGCCACGAAGCAGGACAGCCTCTCGTGTCAGCCCACCGCGGTTCAGGAGTATGGGAAAGTCTCCATCGAAGGTCACTACACTCATGGGAAAGCATGTGCGTCCTGAATGCTCAGCTCAGTGAATCCTCACAAACTGAGCGCACCCGTGTAACCTGCACCCGAGCGTCAGAGGGACAGGAGCAGCCTCTAGAAACACACCCAGGCCCAGGTGTGCCCCGCAGAAGGTCACCACTGCCCGGAGTCGGTACAGATGACTTTGACCAGCTTGAACTTGATAACAATAGGCTTATACAATAGGTGCTCTTTGGTGTCTGCCTTCTTTCGCTCACATCACACTTCTGAGATCCATCCGTGTTGTTATGGAGAGACCTGTCCTTGAATACACGTATGCTCATGACCTGTATTTGTAAGACTCTGAGGAGGTCAGCAGTGCTGGGTGTGGGTGAGCTGGAGGGGCAGGCGGCGGTGGGACGGCGAGGGCTCAGGCCTCCTCGGGTGCCTCAGGGCAGGTTGGTTTGTGATGGGGCTTACAGAACAGCCTTTAGTTAGGCTCTTCAGGTTGGTTTTTTAAAGTTTCTAGCTACTTCTGAACCATCCTCCACTAGAAAATAAAACACTGATTTTCAGCTAAACTGCTCTGTGATCTGCACCTGGTAGACCAAGGGCCACCAGAACTTTCTGTTCTGAGCTAGTTTTGCAAACTATGATTCTGGCGGTTTTTAGTTTTTTATTATATATATATATATATATATATATATATATATATATATACACTCTTTTATTGATTTTAGACGGAGGAAGGGAGAGGGAGAAAGAGAGAGAAAGAGAGAGAGAGAGAGAGAGAGAGAGAGAGAGAGAGAGAGAGAGAAGAGAGAGAAACATCGATGTGAGAGAGAAACATGGATCAGTTGCCTCCCACATGTGCCATGACTGGGGATTGAACCTGAAACCTTGGTGTGTGCCCTGACTGGGAATTGAACCCACCACCTTTTGCTGTATAGGATGACGCTCCTACCAACTAAGCAACCTGGCCAGGACTGATTCTGGTGATCTTTCGTGAAAAGCTTGGGAATGGGAAATTTAGGTGCTTGTAAATTGTTGGCTTTGGTGGTGGGCACCACCACCAAATTCCCTCGTGATATGAGCTTCTCAGAGTACGTGTCAGGACCAGCGCTGTCTGGTACCTGGCTTAGGGAGACCATCGTGAGTGTGGGGTACAACTGTCCTGGTGGGTATGGTGCAGCCCAACCCAGGGCCCCTGGGACCTCTTAGGAGGTCAGAATTGTGCTTCACTGAGGCTGCAGAGTGGCTCAGTGAGCCATCAGTTCTGCGTTCTCATGGGTAGAACTCAGGTTTGCCAAGGGTTCTGTGTCCATGGCATGCAGAGAGAGAGCAAAGGGATGGGGCTTTTGTGTGCCACCCTTCAGACCTACAGAGCATGCCATGACAGTGACAAGAGTCAGTCCTTCTTGTTTTCTCTTGTCCTCTGCTGTCCCCTTCCTCCGTCTCACCAGATCCCCAGCTCGGTCCACAAGTTAACATGGCTTCCATCACACCACGATGGCTTTCCTGTGGGACCCCTGTTATCTCAGCAACCAGGCACCTGCGGGGTCCAGACTCACAGGACACTGGTGTCCTGAGCCTGTAGATACTCCCTCTCTTGCCCCCCCTCCACACAAACACACTCTGTTACCTGAAGGAGAGAACCAATTCCTCTGAAGTTCTATCACAAAATACACGTAATCGTCCTGAGTTTAAAGAGAGAGGACAGATACAGCAATAGTTTTAGAATTATAAAAGAATCAGCCAGCATTGCTTTGCCTGAGCCTTAATGCGAGGATTATAAATTCCGACCCCTGGCCTTGGGGAGAAATAGGTAAAACTATCCCACTCATTATCGCCATCAATAGGCAGCTCTCAAGTTTCTGGGCAGTACCTGCCATGAATGTGTCCAAGTTGCCCATCTTACACTTTCTGCTTCAAGCCCCAAAGTACTTGGAGTCACTGCACTTGGGCAATTAGGGTGCATTTGCCATTGCCCAGCCTGGGCCCCACCACCTCGTCCTCCCCTCAGGTTTGCTTCAGGGATCATCTTTCTGCCCCCTGCCTTGCCTTGGATAGGAGAGGTGGCTCCTTCCTCCACACCTCAGCACAGACCTGGCCAGGCCTCCTCTGTCCCCAGCCATTGCTGCCTTAGCGCCTGCTCACTGATCTCTGTCCCCAGACTGGGAGCTCCCTGCCAGGTCAGCACACAGACAGTCACTCTGCGTAATACCAGCAAAGAGGGGTGGCAGGAAAACAATTTTACAAAAAGAGAAAATAAAAAATGCAAGTGTGGTTTTACTTGGGATGTGTGTTCTGTTTCATTTGGAAGCGGGTCCCGTGGGTAGGGGGCTGCTGTTCTTGAAATCAAGAAAGCGATGAAGTGACTTTCAGAGGTTCCTGCAGGGCCACACACTGCATGGCAAGTGAAGGTAATCAGTAGCTAAGATCGTGTCTGCAGAGGTCTTGATCACCGTCTGTGTCTAATTTCATTAATAAACGCTTGAAAGTTTTGCCGCTGGGAGCTCAATATGAATGCTGTTGCTTCCCAAGGCTTGAATTTTCCTTCCCAATAAAATGGGAATGTGGCTATCGTGCAGCTTAGCAATAGGCTCTGTTCAACGTTTCACAAGGTCAAGATGTAGTTTTTACACAGTGACCAAGACAATTCAGGCCCAGACGGTAGCTCCATTTCATGACTAGGACCATTAGCCTAGTTCAGTGGTCAGCAAACTGCGGCTCGCGAGCCACATGCGGCTCTTTGGTCCCTTGAGTGTGGCTCTTCCACAAAATACCGACTTCTGCGCATGGGCCACGAAGTTTCAATCACACTGTACGTGCGCGCCCACACATGGTATTTTGTGGAAGAGCCACACTCAAGGGGCCAAAGAGCCGCATGTGGCTCGCGAGCCGCAGTTTGCCTACCACTGGCCTAGTTTATAGTCAAAAGAGGAAAGAGAGAGGGTGAGGAAGCAACTTAACTTCTCTCCTGGACTCAGATAGAAATCTCACGTGTGGTCCTTTGGCCCAGGAAGGTGCTTCCTCACCAGGCTTCTTGCCTCCCAATTACCTACAGAAATGCCAACTCCCTGCATGCAGCCCCGGGAGGGCAATCGGATTCACTTCCACTCATGTCCCCAACCAGCGGGGATTTGCCCTCTCAGGGACATTTGACGATTTCAAGAGACATGTTTTGGTCAACTCAAGTCGGGGAGTTGTTACAGGGCTGCTCTAAACATCGTGCAATGCAGAGGGCAGCCCCACAACAAAAATGACCTGACCCCAAATGTCAGCAGTGCTGGAGTGGGGAGCCCCCGATCTTACCGGGTACTGGATGCACCCTTCCCAGAGGCACTTCGCTGTTGAAGAGGATGCCTGTTCATATAAGTGGATCTCTCATGGCTTCCACAGAGTGAACCCTTCCCAGCAGCTCGGCAGAAAATGTTGGGGGTCCACAGAGAAATTGCGTGTTCAAGACGGTCCTAGTCTAGGAGTCTGCCTTGGGAGTAGTGTCCCTCCAGCGGTTTCTCCCTCCTTCCTTCATTCGGTCATCCACCGGACAGGAGCCAGGCACTGCCCAAGATAATGAAGAAGCAATGCCAGGTGTCCTTGCCATGCTCTGCCCTTGCCCCGCCCCCACCACCGTCAGCGGCATCCACCGAGCTAATGCTAACCGGCATTTCCTCAGTCTCACTGGGGGAGGCCAGGGGTCTCCAGTGGCCGTTTGTGTGCATTGGGGTGTGTATCAAGTGGATATAAACTATAGGAGGGACTTGGGATGGGACATGAGGACTCATCATGGGCACTTTCAAGCTGCCCCTCCAGGAAGGTGGCTCTCCCTCCACATCCCTAGGTGACTGCCTGTGCCAAGCAGCCTCCTCCCATAAGGGGCCTAGAAGAGCTAGGTCCAGGCTTGGCTGGCGATGGGGAAGGCCCTGCCCTCACTGATGATGCACAAGTGATGGCCTCTGGGCTCCCTGTGCGATGGTGCAGATTTGTGCCCGGTGGTGAAGATGGATAGGTGTTTGCGGTGGCTGCTGTGCATGTGGTTCCGTGTCTGTTGTCAGAGCCCCTGAGTGGCTTTCACTTTGTCAGCACCTAAATCCTGCCATCCCAGGGGCCTGAGTGGCGGGGGCTGCGGCACCCAGCTGGTTAGCAGCTTGTGGGTGTAGGTCCCCACTGCCGGCCTCCCTGTGGGTGAGCCTGTGCATCGCTGGGACCCACTTACTTCCGGGGGCCCTTTGGGCCCATTTGTTCTAGAACTCTCTGAGGTCTCCATAAGCATGTTTGTAAAAGGTATATTTATTCTAGATGCTGCGAGAAGGGTTGGGCATCTAATTTATCGACTTCTAGGTAATTTGGTTGAACACTGTTGGTTACATTTATTTGTCTCTATTTCTGCTGGAAGACTTGGTAGTCAGGATGGAAAAGTCAAAGACAACAGTTGGGTGTGTTTTGAGAAGGAGGCTTGCTGAGCAGGTAGATGTTACGATCTGGTTGAGTAAACTTCACTACGCTGGTGGAGCTGCCTGCTCCTCCCTAACGGGCTTTCCACCAAAGCAGAAGCAAGACAGGTTAGCAAGGTAGGGTCTCAGTAGCTCAGAACATCGTGGTTTTCACGGGATCTTCTTCTGGAAAATGGTGGGTTGCACCAGTTGTCCGAGCTTGTCTGGATTCTGGAAGGTTTTCTTTGTGTGATGCCCTCACGCCCGACTTCATCACGTCCTGTCTTCCTCGTGCAGCACCTCTCTCCTGGTTTCCTCCCTTCTCGCTCCAGCAGTGCCTGCTGCAAGAACACCTCTCTGTGCCAGGTCCCCTCTGCCCAAGGGAGGACTGGATGGAGTTTGCCTTGGCTGAGGCCGGTCAGCTTGCATCACCG